GAATTGTCGGGAGATGACTAGATTGGGGGTAGTCTGATATATATAAGATGGTCACAACGTGATGGGACAATGTGTAGAAGGTAATGAGTAATTGAACTGCAGTCAGAGAGTATTGTTGAACAGAGCACGTGAGACGTTCGTTGTAGCGCGACTGTTGAAATTAAGTGTATCACAAAGTTATATTCAGAAAGAATAAACCAGCTTTATTTTAGAAAGGACTTGTATTGCTAAAGTTTCGTCAGAACGAAGTTACGGAAAATTAACTAACGAACGGAGGCGTAACAATAGGTTTGTTGAATGATCAATCAGGTTTCTTTAATCCAAATTTTTTTTTCTCTTCTAGCTGTTCTAATAATTTGAAGTTGTTGACTTAGATGTTTAATGTACGTCTAGAGTACTTGGTATGTATAAAGTTTTATATTTAAGTAATCATTAATTTGAATGAAGAGACAGCCATTTTTGAACTATGTGTGCCTACTGAAAAAGAAGGCATGTGTACATGTATGTTGAATGATAAGTGTGTTTGTTAAACGTATGCAACACCATTATTCTTTAAACTGCAAAACCTGTTTAGAGAAACTTATAATGCTGTTTTGTACCACAGACCCTTAGATCATATTTATAACTGTATTACATCCTTTAAAATTAAGCAAAAGTATACAGGTCACAGGAATAGTATATCATCAGTTTACATATCAAAAGCTTGTATTCTCAGTGTACAGAAGAAAGAGCAAGCTAATATTCTAACCGAACAACACTGTTGAATTGAAATATTAGGTTATTCTCGTATCCAGTACCGGATTAACACATAGACCATCCAGGTTTGGGACCCAGCTATACAGGGGCCCTGCCAGCCACCCAAGTAAAAAAAATATGGTTTGTAAAACTAGCAGAATGGAGGCAAGAGTGAGTCATTATTATTTCCAAATATTACCTGGGCCTAGGACCCCACTAAACCTTATTCCAGCCATGCTCATGTCACTCTCTACAAGGTTTATATTTATACTCATTACTTTAGTGTAATGATCATGACTTTTTTCTTCTGAAAACTGGGATCCTAAGAATAGCAAATAAGAATTAACCTACTTGGATCCTTTCTGTGTAGTTGTTGAGAAGTACTACTCCTGTTCCAGAAACTTTCTTTGTTTCCACCATGGTTTTTAAATCAGCAAGTAGGCTCATGTGCTTGGACATATCAGTGGCAAGAACCTGTGGGATTCAAAGGCATATGCATTACTAATAAAAATTTTATTTAGATAAAAAAAAACACACACACTATAAAATCATGGCATAAAACAGAGTTTTTTATTTCTTAAGATAGTGTCACATAATTCATCCATTCGTCCATCTCCTTTGTGATGGCCTGTATTAAAGAGCCCTAGAACTTTGCTATGAAAACAAAATGCTGTTTGGAAATCTTTTCATTGCGTCTTTATGAACATACTGTAGATAACAACTGAAAACTATACACTGTTGAAGTCAAATGACACATTTCAGTAATCTCAACAAGCGGGATGGTGACTCCAATAACTATTAACAGAATTTTAATGTCAAATAGTTATACATTACTATATAGCTTACCATGTCTATTGAAACCTTCCTGAGTGTCTGTTGTTGCTTTTTGTTGAGGCTCTCAAAAATGTTACAATTTTCATCTTGTAACAGCTTAAAAGCAACAGCTAAAGAGTGGTTCTCCAAGACAGACTCATCATTGTACATTATTGCCAGTTCAGACACTGGATAAAAAAACATACATAAAATAGTTGCAAGTTATTACTGTACTCAGCTTTTAAAAAGGGAAACAAAAGGAAATTAATTAATGGCTTCAGTTTCACTGTAGATTACTGGAAAAAGATATATGATATATATTTGTAACATAAAGTCAGTTTTTACAGTTTCTTTTTATCATAACATATTACAAAAGTGTTACATATGTCAGATATATAAACAAAATATGTAATTCATCATTTTCAAAATCAATGAGAAATAAACCAATTAAACCTTAAAATTTTTAAGGGAATTTATAATTATTATTAACATTCATATGAATTATTAGTTTTTAAGTGATAATATACAATTAATGAACAAAAACATTAAAACTTTCTCAAAATTTCAACTAAAGTTTAGCAGAGCAAATTTAACATAAAAACAACTGACCGTAAATAATAATTTCTAAGTCAGCAACGTTAGACTATCATTCTATCTAAATTAAGTACTATAATTTGCGTTATTGAAAAACTGAAGATTGAGCAACATATTCCAGTTACATAATGTTGTAGTTGATAAACAGAAAGTACAATAGATTAGGACTGTATCAGCTTTTTAATAGAGTATGGCTATGTATCTAAGAAAACAATAATTACTTAGACTTATTGCTTAAGATTATAAAGTATGGACTAACCAGAAAAGACTGGCTTATTATAATGGTTCAAAATCAACAAAGAAGTTTAAAAAAACATTTGAGGTTAATTGTATTTGAGTTAAAAGCAATTCAACCTGGCTACTAGCCAAAACTAAGCACTGACAGGTGACACAATTTCATGAAGATAGGCTTTAAATACTGTATTCAAACAGCATAAAATATTCTAGGAATTACTGATGAAACAGAAATGGTAATTAGAACAAGCAATCTTACACACTTTAAGTTTTGGAACACACCCTATAAATATTTTTTTGTGTTTTTATTCCATATTATTGTTAAAACATAGAAGATGCAGATTATTGATAATAATAATAAGAATCTACTCCACTACACACGAGCAGCTTACTACTAGAGTAAGCATGTTTATAAATAATGACTATTCACTCCATATGAAACTGCACACCATTTCAATTCTAGAACAAATAAACAATAAATCGTTTGTTTTAAAACTTCAGATTGGTGCTTAATTAATTATGAATCCTCTTTTCACACCACTATTTCTAACCATATAAATTTTTAATTAGGTGAGAAATACCAACTATGTAAGAGCTAATATGAAAGAATTAGCACAAATTATCAACAAAAAATGAGTCGATTTCAAGAGACCCAGATGATTGAGTGCTTTTCAATAATTGACTATTCTTCTCTTGAAGGAGATCTTTTGAAGTATGTAAGAAGTGTAGACAAGAAGGAAAAAAACTTGACAAGAGTTAATCAACTTACACATACTAATATGAAAAGGTATCAAATAAAACAGGTAAACAATTCCTGCCTAAAAATTAAAATTCTACAAAGTTCTGGCCAGAAAAATGTAAAGTACCAGAAAAACAAAACAGTTATCAACATTAACTTATTATTGAACAAAGAAAAAAGAAAAAAAAAAAGAAGAAGTCAAATTGTTGGCCAACTTACATGTATTGACTAGATATTGATTGGTTACTCCTGGATGATCCACATCATGAATAGCAGCAGCAAACAAAGCAGCGAGTATTTCAAGGTCCATAAACACAGACTAAGGGATAAAAAAATAGGTCAACTATATAAGGCTAAAAATCCAAAATGTAAAGACAAATAAAACAGAACATAAAAACTACATATACATATCCCTATAATAATTGGTTCAATCAGTACAGAATAAATTGGTGCTATTGATTAGGGCAGTGATGTATCTTTTCATGTCAAGATATGGAACCTTAGCTTAGATGATATATGAACTTCCCTTAAAGACTACATGTAAGTAAATATTATCTTTTCTTGTATTAACTGTCTTTAAGCTTTATTATATTTCTGTAATGGTTTCAACTAGTGGCTGGGTTCTTTTGGATTATTCAATAAAAAGAATGATGAAAAGTTCAGTCCACTTAATGATGATAAAAACATTTAATTTTTTTAACTTTCATATCACTAATTCTTTGTTAAAATACAAAAACAATATTCACAGCACTGGACTAAATCATGAATTGATTACTCATTAGTTGACTAACAAACTTTGTAACTCAGTAGCTCACTCTAGCCTAACTTACTTTTTATGTCTGAAACTTTTCCCTAAGTTCAGAAATGAAATCCATGACCATCATGTTACATTAAACTTCATTCTAACTAAACAGCTACACAAATTAAAAACATGGGCTACAGTAATATATATATATATCAGTCAGTAATATGTGAAAACAAGTAATATTCAGGTAGCACTTAATATTTAGAGCACCTAAGGTTGGAACAATGAAAATGTAAACTTTATATCAAAACCCCCTGTGCAAATGTGAGGCTTGAGAGTAGACACAGTCCACCTATTTTTTGGAAGTGTGCACTGACACCATCCATTCACTGTTTTTGGGAAAATGCCATTTTTCATACTTCAATTTGCACTGTTATTTGTTTTGAATAGTAGTTTTGGAAGGTTTGAAAATTCCTACTTTAACTTCTCACTGGGTAACCCCCATACAGTCCACTCACAATTAATTGTAGGAGTATTTGTTTGTTTGTTTTTGATTTCACGCAAAACTACACTAGGGCTATCTGCACTAGCTGTCCCTAATTTAGCAGTGTAAGACTAGAGGGAAGGCAGCTAGTCATCACCACCCACCGCCAACTCTTGGGCTACTCTTTTACCAACAAATAGTGGGATTGACCATCACATTATAATGTCCCCACAGCTGAAAGGACGAGCATGTTTGGTGTGACATGGATTTGAACCCGCGACCCTCAGATTACGAGTCGAGTGCCTTAACCACCTGGCCATGCCGAGCCTTGTAGGAGTATAACCATGAATTCTACTGTGCACCATTTGACAGAATTCACCTCAAAATTTGACTGTTTTATTTCAAACTCAGTAAAATAGTTAAGTGTATCATAATGAAAGAATAATTTTCTAAAAATCTATATGTATGTTTTTAATTTGTTCTTAAATGAGGAAAATGTTTTGGTTAGTTTTAATAATCAACTTTGAAAAAGTAAAGTTATTCTAAGAATACTAAACATAGTAAGTTATCATTTGCAGAAAAATGTGATTCATTTCAGTCTAAAATAATCCTCAATTGCACACCTGTCTATGAAATTATGCTTACTTAATTTTCGAACTGCTTATGCAATTTTTTAAAAAGCAACTTCAAATTTTCAGGTAGGCTTTTGATTTTCATTGAATATAAACTAAAAATAAAATAAAAATGAGGAGGCCACAAAAATTTTAGGTTAAAAGGTATTTTGGGCTTTCAAGTTTTACTGAAATGATATACATGTACTTGAAAATTAGTACAAACATGTAGGGAGCCATTCAGGACAATAATATAAGTTCAGATCTTAGAAATATTATAATTTGAGCCCCATATAAGGGTATAAAGGGTTCTGAGGAATCTCAGGGCTGGATTCACAAACTTAAATAAAAATTGTATATTTAAGAAATTTTTCAAAATTAGTGTCTATGATAGTTTTTCAGAATTTCTACATCCCATTCCTTTCATATGGGAGATCAAATTTTTGGGGGGAATAGAGGTCTCAGAAGTAGCTGCAGAGTTTGGTTTGAAAATTGAGTCATTATAGAAAAGGTGTGAAAAATAAAAATCGTTTGGGCATTTCTTGTTGTCCATAGATTTTATCAGGTAATTTACCTGTGTGTTTGAACTTGTGTTTCATTCAGTCTGTCTGGCTTGCTATTTACATGAACATAAATTACCCCTGCAAACTTTTCTCCAGCTGAGGTATTGTAGTTAATTATTAATGTGCATACAATTATACAAAATTCGGAGAAAATTTAAGTACATATGTGAAATGATTGTTAAACATGAAGATGTTGATTAAAAATAATTAACTGTTTTAAGAAGTTTGTAATTTAGTCTACAGAATGACTGTTTAAAGTAACTGAGCCATGTTCACTAACAAACTGTAAAAAGTTACATGAATTAATTTCTATATACATATTTTTTAATATCATCCATGATGTTCCTCTCACCTCAGATTATACCCCCCCCCCAAAAAAAAAAATTAATTCAAAGAGTATTTTGAATATTTAAAACATGTTTTATTTGACATTGTCAATAAGTTTTGAAAAAACTTTTATCAAAAAAATCTATAAAAAGAAAAGTAAATCACAGGAATTCAGATTTGAACACTGAATTTATAGAACAACATATGGTGATTAGGTCACACTGGCTTATTTGCACATTGGATGGGAATTTCTGGATCTGATCGTTTCTGAGATATCTGTGTTAGTTTCATTTCACAAACCTGATCCATTCAAAAGTTTAAATATTGTTATTTTCTGTAGCTTTATGTGTGAAAAACAATCCAGTTACATCCTAAAAGAAAATAATTATATAAAAAAATCACTAGAGTATACTTACATCAAATGCAGGGGAGAGTAGCAGAACATTGACTGACTGAGTTACATCAGCTGCATGAATGCTGTTATGATATGGGACTTTGAGGTAATGGTCTTCCAGAGTCAGAAGAAAATTAATAAAAGTTTTTGCTGGAATCTTGAAGGTATTCAATAAATCTCTGTCCTTTATAAAATAAAATATTAAAAGTTATATTATTTTTATTGAAAAAAAGCTAAGAACAAAAGATCAGAAGTTATACTTGCACACAGACAATGATAAAACAAAATTACAACTATAATAGTAGTGTCAGACTGGTGCACAGAATAATAAAAAATAAACGAATACATCATTATTTAGAAAAATCTTTGTTTTATCCTTCAGAGACTGTTGCATTTGTTAGCAATAACTAAAGTCCATACAATGTGTATTTCAGTACCTCTGAAACTCAATCTGCACGCATGAGACAGCAGAGTTCTTCACTAACGATGAAAAGAAACAGACTAATGGATCAAATTTAAAAATGATTTTAAAAAGTTCACATTAATGAAAGTAACCACAGTTTCACTAATATTACAATGTTTAATGTAATGATAAGAGTGTAATACAGGAGCCTGAAACCCTTAAGATACATTTATTACATGTTCTGAGAACAAAAAAAAAGCTTTTACAGATCTAGGTTCTCCTCAGCTTGTACACTGATTATTGTTTTAGGAATCTTGAATTAGACTAAATCAACTATGCTCTCTCTCTCATACACACATGTAATATATAACAAATACTGACTAACAACAAAAATATTAAATCTCTTGTAGCATTTTCAAGTGTATGTTAATGCACAGTATTCTACATCGCCATTGCAAAAAGAAAAAAAAAAATTGTGAAAAAATTGCATTATGAAAAGCTACAATCCTGGCTACTGATACCATATCATTACATTCAATGCTTTTTGTAAATAACTGACCATTAAGATTCAGTGGTGTTACCATAGTCACAAGCATGAAGTATGAATATATAAAATACAAATAATATTGTAGAAATGAATACTCACTCTAAAGATTGTATATGTCACAGCTGTAAGAGGACGATGTGTAGAATACTCTGTTATTCCAAAAATGTCTACTCCCCACTTATTTGTATCTTCAAGAAGCTGTGAAAGAGAAAAATGAACAACTGTTATGTTTTGTAAAATAAAACATTCAAGCCGAATATCATACACTTTTACAATTAATGTTACAAATACGTTAATACCAATAATTATATTTTTGGTGTTGAAAATTCTCAAGTGCTAACTTTATGAAAAATAATTTTCATTAATTGAGTTTCCTAAACATTTATGCAAATAACCGTACCCACTTACACAGCAACTACAATTCTTACACAGACTTTTCATTTTAGGGTTAGATGCAAAACTCAAAAATGTATTGTGTATTTGAAGGATTATCAGAAAGTTGTTGAGATGCTCCCTTGCAGTTACAAGCATCCTTTCGCAGTCATTAGTGTTACATAGGTAAGTGTCAGGTGCAGGGGAATGGGACGAGGACATTGAAAAACTTTTTAATTGTTCAGTTTGTAGTGCCTGTTGTTTTAAATAAAAGTAGATTATTTTTCCAGTGGTAAACTTACAAACACACTATTTACATTCTGATAGTATCTTAGCTCAGACAGTCTTTTTCTTCGATAACAGTATATGTGTAAAAATTATCTTTCAAAAATAACCTTATATATATATTTTTGATGTACATTTTACAATCAGTATCTTTTTTAAATACTTTTAAGCTGTATGCTTATTATAACACTAATCACACTGAGCAATTTGATCATATTTGCTTTCTTAACGTTTTTCTCCAATATGACTTCAGAGGTAATAATTAAGTGAATTACCTCTCCTAGCTCCTCTTCGTGTGGTGTTTCTACCCCATATTTTGGTAACTTTGTGAGGCTATTTGTGTGACACAGAGGCTTTTTAATCCCAGAGATCTGAGACATTGCAATCCCTGCCTTGTGCTGGGGTCGTTGGCTGTGATGTACATCTACAGTCTTTGTTGGAATATCGAGGTCTTGTTGCTTATCTGAAATTAGATGCAAGAAATAACTATTACTACAGACTAACCTAAAAACTAAGTATCACTTTTAATAAACCTTTTGATAAGGAAAAACAAACTAAAGCCTATCAGTGTTATGAAAGTTTTGTACTAGATATTATCATTATGTTTGACATATTGAGTGTAATATATACTTAAATTTGCAATTACATTAAAAACTTACAAGTTTCCAACCTCAGAAATACAGTAAAAACAAAAGAAAACAAAAAATTTAATATTTGTTGATAGAAATGGCCATAAAAAAGTCAAACATTTTCTAACCTAAAAATTAGATTCTGTGACCATTAGAGCCTTTGTTTCTTCTTTATGACAATTAATACCAGGGATATGTGTATCAAAGTTTTTCAATCTGCAGTTTAGTTTACATAATCATGATAAGATAAGGAGAGTAGCTATTTTACAATGTAATGTAAGTTTATTTACTTATGAGCTGCTAAATTTATTGTAAATTCCTTTATTTAAATACCCTTTTCTTTTACTTTAGAAAGTATAATGCCTAATAAGGACTTAGCTGCCTAACAGCTGTTATCCAGACAAGGATGGGGGGGGGTTAATTCTGTAATATGGTCAGCTAGCCTATTTACAGATTTTGTTCATGAGCTGAGGACTTTTATCACCAAATTAAGGACATATATAAGTACATATTCAATAATTATATAATATGATTTACCCTTAAGTAATATGATCAAGTGTAAATACTTGTGAGGGCTTGATTAAACTGTATTAATTAATGTTTTAAATACACGTTTGTTTTTCAATCTGACACAAGGTGGCTTTATTAAAAGGGAAAAAGTAAGTTAGGACTAAACAGAAAAAAAAAGTTTAAGGAACAAATTGATTTGACAAAATTCAACTGAATGTTTCTAATAGTGCAAAAATAATTATTTATACACAATGTGCTGGCAATCTTAAGTGTTTAAGTGATGCTAAACTTACCTAGAAATGTACTGAAGATGTATTCTGAGATCTGACTCCCTGATTTAGATTCTGAGAAATGGCTGAGCTCCTTGTTTAACATCCTTCTGAACTAAAAAACAAAAAATAATTTTAAAACAGTTCTAGAACCAATACAGTGAAGTTTATCAAGATCTCAATCCAGTATTGTCTTAAATAGATATATTTTCTGTACAATAAATTCCAGGTGTATGCAGGTGTATATACAATAAGAATGTAATCTTGTCTTCATCAGAGAAGATATTCAATTGTATTTTGCAAAGCAAAGAAGAAGATCCGTGGAAAGGGGAAGAAGTACTGGTACAAAATGCAAAACCTGCCATAACTCCCATACAACGACGAGTAGAAAGGTGAAACTTTGCATGTAACTGTGCAATGAACTAGTGAACCTACATTCCAAATTTGGTGAAGATCCATCAATTCAGTACCCTGTGGTAGCAAGAAATCGACAAACAAGTAGTAACAAAAAACTTCGCTGCAGTGCACTTACGCATGCAGGGAAGCCAATAAACTAGTAACAAAAAACGACCACAAAAATCGCAAAACTAATAATACAAAATACATCCCTAACTAAAAGTTATACATTTTGCAGATGTATGTCAGAACTGTTTGTAGCTTTCTAAGCATCTTGACTTTTGAAATTATATTTGTAATTTATTACAGGCTTTATCTACCAGAAAATTGCATACTTATAACATTTCTGATCAAACATTTTTTATTCTCTAAAAGACAAACAAGCCACACTAAAAACCATGTCTCACATAGTATTGTATCATTTCTGGATTAACAAGACAGATCATCACAGTCATTATGTATACAATTTTAGAGAATACATGTCTGCACCTCCTACACGTCTGTATGTCCAAATTATTTGTTGGTAATTTAAGTATCTTTACTGTAGATAAAGCAATATGGAACTTCATCTGTCTATCAACATAAAATCATGCATTAAAGAAAATTACAAAATATGAATAGACAGAATAGTGGATATGATAATTTTAGTTTTAACAGAGTTCTGAGGGACAAAAATTCTGCTGTCTCTTCCTTCAAAATATACCCATTCAACATTAGCTTAAAATAAGCTATATCATGGAACAATGTTAGTTAATTATAATTCTGTTAACTCTTTAACTAAAAAAATCTTATAAATTAACATCTTTTGACATTGCATAGAGAATCATTCATTGATCATTATTATGGGAATATGATGACACATGGAAATTCTAGAAGATTAAGAATGGAAAGCAGAATTTTAACTGATGATAAGGCTAAACAAACAATATTAATCAATCTTTTAAGCACAATGTTCAGACAATGAGGTATCAATAACCATATCTCTATAATCTTATTGGTGAAAATACTTTCAAACCCTATTAAATTTCTAATTTATCAGTTGTTTGATTTAGCTTTCCCTATCTTAATAGAGGTAGTTAACTATTTCTCGTCTTTTTTTATGGCTGAAAATGTATGAAGCATATACTTCAACCATATCAAAATAAAATATACTTATATTGTTTTCAGAGAAATAGTATTTCTATTTGAATTAATATTTTCTAAATGCTTACTCACTATCATGTACACACCTTTGGCAGGTAAGTTTATCATATAGTTTCTGCACTTTTATTAGGATTTTTTTTTATTCTTGAAATGTATTTTGTGTGCCTTAATGTTGTATATTTGGTGGTGATAAAAACAATTATCACATCACAGATGACACTAAAGCAAATTGTACTATTTATTTATTTTTTTTAAAAGTATTATCAATCTGAATTCAATCTCTCAGGGCACAAAACCAAACAATTTATTTGAAATAACTAGGGATTACCAAAGAGTGGATAACCACTGGTTCAAACTCAAGTCAGGAAACTAGATTTATGATATTCCTTTTATCCATAAATACTAGTTCAAGCTTTAGTTTTGTTTGTTCTCAGAAAACATTGTGGTTGGTAAAAATCTAGAAGAATAAGATAGTGCTCAATCTGTAAAGGAAATATTTTGCTTATATATTTTTTGGGGAACTTAATCTATACCTTTTATTCTTATATTTTATTGGTCTTTTTTTTTACTGTGATGTATGCTTTCATGTTGGTTTTCTTCATATTCAAATTCATACTTTTATAGATCAATTTGATTACATTATTCCAAAGAAATGGAAGTTTCATATTGCCTATATTTAACACTAGTATGTTTACAATATTTTGATAATGCTGCCTTTGAGCTTTTTGCTATTCTGTACGTGAATTTGCATTTTTAGCCTATCTTTTAGAAACAATATACATACCTTACAAGATGCCATGTCTCCCACAGACCTGTGTGCTTGTATTGTCTCTAGCTGGTCTAAACACCAGTCAAACTCGTCAAGAGTTTCTATTGCTAACTTTGCATACTGTTCCTCTAAAAATATTCAAATTATTTTTAAAAATTTCTCATTTTAAAAACCTTACTCAGCACAAGTTATAACATAAATTAATTTGCATTCAAAGATCAAATAACTGTTCTGTCAACCTTATATTTACAACTCTTTTATATATATATAGTAACATGATACTAGATTAGAAGCAAATACTTTGTATGGTTTTATCTTTCTTTCATTCAAGTAGATTACCAGCCTTTCAATATTTCTATTTAAATATCATGCTGAAAAGGTGCCAAGTTATTATAAAGTATAAGATGAGAATCTCAAGATTGGTTCAAGACATTGTTTATATATTTACTGGTAAATTCACATAAACAAATCCATCAACCTTCAATATATAGTAACAGGTAAAAATAAACAAAAGATAGAACTGTTACTTACCATTGAAGATGTTTATACACAACTATTCTTTAGTAACATGAACATCTGAACAGTAAAACACAACACTGAATAAAATGGAAATCAATTACCGTAACGGCCCTAAATTCATATCACATAAATAGTTACAACCAAAGTCTTGGTACAAAGGAGTCGAGTTTTAGATTCATGTACTTTATTTATTGGTTTTTGTAATAAATCTGATAACTAAACACTTTCAAGTATTGACTCACCTGTAAGCTGTTTGTTTGACACTGATGCGGAGTTATTGCTTGGTGAGGTCCTTCTTGACCTGAGGATAGAAATACATTAAAACTAATAATGATCAACAGAACATACAGTGAATAATAAGTACATTGTTTTGACAGCCACATATAGAATACTTTATCTGAACTTCTGTTCTCAGCCAGTTTCTAAGGCATGGTAATTAACATCTAAAAACACATAACAAGATCATTTAAATGTAACAGTATAAATTATAAAACTCAATAATACTTTAAACATCAAAATTCATAAGGTGATGCCACTGTAAAAATTAGATAATATATTGAAAGAACATAATCTTTCTGTAAACACCACTATAAATATATGGACAGAATAAATTCTAGAAGATTCTCACAAGATGGTATACTACTAAGTGCAGTAACTTTGTTGTGAAAGATCACTACAATATCTCTTAGTTGAGTATCTTCTGCTTGTTCATGGTGCACATCTAGCCTAGTAACTACTCCACTGTGTGTATGTGATGAGCTTCATTACACACATTTTATCACACCCTGCCTTTTAGGCCATTTCACAAATAGTAGCAAGTCATTCACATGCTTGGCATACTTTTCACCAGAAACTGTCAGCACTGTTTATTATGAATTGCTGAGTGTGTAGGCCACTTATTTTGAGTCCCATTTCTTACCAAGATGAGCAACATAAATAAATTATCCAAATCAGTCATTATGTATAAAAAAAATTAAGATTAAATTGGTCAATTAAATGCATAGTAATATATACACTCTATTATATATTGTCTGCTAATGATCTTGTATATTTTTTTATCATTTGTGCAGCTCTTCTGTTATTATTTAGCTCATCTGGCAGGAAAATCATAAATGTACCCAAATATTTGAATAATAAATGTTTCCTATTAAAGTTTTTCTTCATTACCCATTTAAGCCGTCTCCAGCCATTATTAGTCTCAAAGTGGGTTCCTCGTCATCGAAAATGTTTCCTATGCTACTTATGGATAACTAATAAAATATTATAATAAAAAATACTAATTAGGGAATTTTATCTTAATATATATATAAATGACTACCTGATATATTGTTTCTAAGGTTATTACCAACCCTTCAGGTTTTTAAATATACCTGTGGAGACATTTCCACATTTCATTTACATACCTTTTGAGAAGAAATGCAATACTCAGCCATTTTATTCATGGAAACTTAAATAAATTTCATGAAAAACAATTACATAGCCTAAAATACCAGTTAGTTACGATAAGGTTATTTCCATAGTAAACTGGTTTATTTGAAGGTTAAACATTACAACTGAATGCTACTATAGGTTGGTTGTTTTGATGCTACTGCAAATGACTGCACATCTCCCTTAAAATTTCAAATCTTCTGATGTAAACTACTTTGTATTGAATATTCTTACTATAAATCTGAAAACTGTCCACAATTGCATAATTTAGTTTTACTGCTGAATATGATTTATTATTAAACAGCTTGGCTTATTGTTGAAAACTGTCTACAATTAAATAATTTACTTTTACTGCTGAATACTGTTTACTGTTAATCAACTTGGCTTTGATATTGAAGACCATTTCCTGTTAAATATTCTACTGCTTATTATTTTATTTTTTAATAAAAACAAAGCCCTATTATTGAATAATTCAATTCTGCTGTTGAAGATTGTCAAGTATTTAGTAATTCAGCTTTTATGCTAAAAATAAAAAACTAAGTTTTACTATTCAATTTAACATATTTCTAAATATTGAAAATTCTCTTAGTTTTATTGTTGAAATTGTGGACTATTATACAGCTCAGCTCTATTATTACTAGGAATGCAGTTATTGTTGGAAGATTGTCTAATATTATATATTTTAGTTCTATTGTGGAAGATTGTCTATTGTTAAGCAACTGAGTTCTGATGTTTAAAATTATATACAGTTGAATATTTAATTCAACTCTGATGTTGAATATTGGTTAATCAGTATTCAAGTATCTGAGTATGATTTTGAAAAACTGTTATTTGTTCAAGACTATTTAACACTGACATACTATGGAATATTACAATTAAGTCAAAATCATGATGATGAACACATCACTGATAAATAATATAGTAGTATTTATACAGGACTTCTACTACCAGTTTCAAACCGACATTTTACCCTTAGTCTTGGTCATAAACTTCAATATATCGTTTCAGCTTTTAACTCTAAACAATTCTACACGTATCTAAACTTGGTGAAACCTATAAAAACTTTGAAAAATGTATGACTTATCAGAGTTTATTAGCCTTTTTTTTATGACGTCTTTAGAAATTTACTCAAATATTTTGTACAGCCTAGTGTATTCTATCACAAACGAAGAAACATCGAGAAGATCAAGGAAAAGATTACTATTTTTGCGTCAAGAAACAGTATATGATAAATGGTGTGTCAACCAATCTGTTCTTTCACAATTAGTTATCTCTTAAGAATCACTGTTTAAAATTGTTTTATGGTTCCACCTCGTATGAATAAATAATATTTATTGGAGAACCACGTATTATATCATACTGAAACTTGAACTAATAAACTCATAAAAATATGAATGTAATATTAATATTTAATAAATTTTATTATATTTTACTATAGCATACATAATTGCAGAAATTGCTTTTAGAGTTATCCAAAAGATGGCGCGACAATACACTAGCTCTCTCCCCTGTCTTCCTTTTTTTCCAAGAGGTCTATAACGTAAATCGGTAATTCTTGGTTATTTACTTACTTGCTCGCTGGAACCTTAGCAAGCGTAATGTAGTTATTCCGTACATTTCTTAAACTTTGAAGAATTTGAGCAAATGGTGTTACAATTAGATCTTGGTCTCCATGTCTGTAAGAAAAACAAAATATGTAAGTTCTAGCAGTACAACTATTCAGTTTAAATGCAGTCAATAAAATATGGTTGCTCAGTTTAGCACTAAATTAGTCTATTTGAGTGTAACTAAGATGACACAATTAAGCCAAATTAAAATATATATTACAGATGAAAAGATCGCTGTTTTTCATAAGAAAACAATTTTTCATATAACACTGTTAGCATAATAAATGGAGTGATTTGCCCCAGAAACAAACGTAAATAAACTGATAAATGTATGTTAAGGATTAAACCCGAAACACTTAAACAAAAAAGTTCGCTATAAGTTTCTTGTCAATATGACTAAAATAATGATACCTCCACAGATTGGTTACAATGTATTGCACTCTCTGACCAGTGTTGGTTAAGGTGTGACCTGGAAATGGTAAAATTATGTGGTAACTGTATTATTAAATGTTTGCTGGAGAACACGTTACAGATATAGAGTTACTACGTAACTAAACGGAACGTTCTATAGTGGTCACACTTTTTGTCTTAGCCATTGTTACGTACTGGATATATATATATACACACACACAAAAAAAGAAGAAACTACAAAGTAGGTTGAGTTTAGTATTAAGCTATCTTAAATAAACTGTTAGTCTAGGACTAGAAGTTGATGTCAACATACCCTACGCTCCCTGTTATCTGGAGTAATTTTTCCCAGAAAGAGAAGCGATGCTTGACTCTCAGGATCCCAGTGCTGTAAGTGCGAGGAATATTTCCTTCTTTCTTTGGAGCTTCAGCCATCTCACATCATTAATGTGTACGTCTTCTCGGTCACAATATTTGTTTAAGCAGTTAATGTTCAAGCACTCACCGCACTAAGAACATAAAATATTTAACCATTTTTTGTCTCTTTTCAAATAAAAAATACTTCAAATAAGCATTTCTTCTCTAGGTGCTAACATCTGTTCTAGCTAAATCTTCTTCTGGAGCCTTTCCAACCACTACTACAGCGTTACCCGAGGGCAGAGAAAAAGAAATGAACAGAATTCGAAGTACTAGCGTTCCACGAGGACTACACGCTGACTAGGGTTCAGTACCTCACTGTATGTTTCATCCTCCATCCGTAGGCAACAAAGTGTTTGCCTTACATCCCAGGCGGTGCAACGGTTATTGCGGATGAAGTTATTTCTAGTCTTATCCAACAACCCCCTCTTACGTGCTATTTATAAATACATGTTTATCCAAAAGGTTACTTACAGATTCTTAACTTTATCACAGTTTCACTACAGAGAAAGAAAACTTGAGTAGGCATCAAGAGTAAAAATACAGAAAGAGGATATTAAAACTAAATTAAACTTCGTACTCTAGTTATCGTTCTAGCTTAAGGAAAACCATTCTGTTGGTGTAAGCACATTCTTAGATCACTTAGTTTAGATTAGATCACCTAGTAAGCACATTCTTAGATCACTTAGTTTAACCGAATCGTCGGTTATAAAATTAAGAAATCTTTATTTATTTGTTTGTAGTTAAGCACAAAGCTACCTGTGCTCTGCCCAATACGGGTATCGAAACCCGGTTTCTAGCGCTTTAAGTCCTCAGACATACCCCTGTACCACTGGGGTCTAAGAAATCTTATCTTCAATCTTTGAAATATAAAATTATTCCTCAATGTAGAATATGAAGTAGTTGGTGATTGATGACACAGGCCTGCGAATTTCAACTTCATGAAAGTTGTTTTGCTTTTAATAACGATCTTCCATAATTCAGCTACACAGATTTCGAAAATAATATTCATTTTTTTCTCTATCACGTAAGGATTTTTAAAAATTGGAAATAAAAAAATCTTACTTAAATCAAATTAATATTTCGCTTCCCACAATGAACATTATTTACTTTTATGTTTGTTATGTCGCGGTTGGTCTAGAGAAATCTATAGCCAGTGGTTGTCAACATTTTAAGCATAACAAAATATGACCCGATTTCAATGAAAATGTTTCACATAAAAGTACATATGACGTTTTTTGAAAAATCTATACGTGATGGAGAAAAATGGATATCATTTTCGGATTCAGCGTACAGGAATTACTGTTGCACATGTACAAATTTCAAGACAATAAAACCATAGCAAGCCTGTGTGATTTGTCGCCAAAGTTGAAGGACAAAGAAAATATATGATTTAGTAGCTTTTATGGCGAAGGAATGTTTAGTTTTTATGTTGATGGTGATGAGTAATTTAGAAATTTGATAACTGTTGCATCACCTGTTACCTAGAGTAGTTGATCGTTGGAAGTAATGATTCATCTGAAGATAACCGAAATTTATTTTTCTTCTTAAGTGGACACTCAATGTTTCGCTTTACAGCTTCTTCAGGAGCGTTCCTCTAAAACACAAACCGTAATTGAGCTGTAAAACGAAACGTTGAGTGTCTAATTACAGGATGAAAGTAAACTTGGTGATATAAGATCGTTTAATATTAGTATTAAAATATGTTTATACTCCAATATATAGAAATTAAATAATAATATATTTTTATTTTTAAGACTAAATTTTCACCTTGAAATATGCACTTTGTCACGCGCAACTATTATACAACGTAACCTTATTGTTGAAGATAATGATTCGCCTATATTACTATGCTCATTGTCACAAGCAAACATTTGACAGAATGGCCTTATTGTTGGGGGTAATATTTCGTCTAGAGGATTGTGCATTGTTACACGCAACTATTAGACAGATATCATATTTATGGTGATAACTAATTATGCAAATATTTGATAATTGTTATACAGTTATGCAACATATTATTTTACTTTTTAAATAACTTGAATGTGAAGTTTGAGAAACACCAGATTTAAAGTTTATTAAGTAATATTTGATGTTTGTATTTATACAGTTTTTATTATAAGTGGGCCACAAGTAACTGATATTCAAGTGTTATTTTTCCATTGTGCCGACTGTTACTTGATACTGCAAACATATGAAAGGCATTTTAATTTCAGTTACTAAAACGATTTTACTTGTGTTAAAATGGCCCGGCATGGCCTGGTGATTAGGGCACTCGACTCGCAATCTACGGGTCACGGGTTCGAATCCCCACACTAAACATGCTCGCCCTTTCAGCCGTGGGTGCGTTATAATGTGACGGTCAATCCCACTATTCGTTGGTAAAAAGAGTAGCCCAAGAGTTCGCGGTGAGTGGTGATGACTAGCTGCCTTCCCTCTAGTCTTATACTGTTAAATTAGGGGCGTGTAGCTTTGCACGAAATTCAACAACAATAACAAACTTCTGTTAACGAGAGGGAAAACAGTCTTAAACTTTTTTTGGGAAGGATGTGAAAATCTTATTATTTCGATAGAATGGGAACTTATCCTTCCTGGAAGAAAATAAAATAAGTACAAAGTTACCCCTCGGAACGATACCGCTTTATATTTTCAAGAGAAAAAACTACTCTTTTTTTTTTTTTAAGGAGGAAGTGGGATTTTCTTACTTTTTCTTTGACGATTGGAATAATTTTATCATTAAAGGAGAGGTTAAAATATTTCATTTTTGAAATCTTCCATGGAGAAAAGACATTTTTCTGAAGAAGAAAATAACCCTGTTTCTGTAGATTACACAATCTTATACTTTTTGAAGGAGGAGGAAAAAAATCTTATCCTTTTTTGTGAATGATGAATCTTAATTTATGTAAAAGATAACTTTTTCTATATAAAAGAAAGCCTTTCTTATCGTGGAAAACGTAAAACTTCATTATCCCGGGCTGAAGAATGAAAATGGATTTCTCTGGAGAAGTCAATCTACTTTTTGTGTGGAAGGGGGTTGCAATGCTTTAATTTCTAGAGGGTGAGAATAAGTTTTAGATTTTTACACCATTCTGTTGAAAAAGTTTCTTTTAAAAGATGTTTGTTTGTTTGTTTTTGAATTTCGCGCAAAGCTACACGAGGGCTATCTGCGCTAGCCGTCCCTAATTTAGCAGTGTAAGACTAGAGGGAAGGCAGCTAGTCATCACCACCCACCGCCAACTCTTGGGC